GCGTAGAGCTAACAGAACTGGCAGCGTTGCGAGGCAAGGGCTCAAACATGTACGGCTGGAAGCCTTCTACACCAAACCAAGCTTCTGCTGCTTTATTCGCTCGTGTAAAGTCGTGCACCACTCGGTAGAATTCGGGATAAACGGTTGGAACGGCCGTTTCCCTACGACCTTAAATGATCTCATGTTAATCAGATAAACGAGCTATTAGCTACAGCATTAACTGTTATCAGATTATCGGATTTCTACCCTTTAAGTGCCGCTTAAAGGGGAGAAAAATGTGGAGATGTTTCAGTACGACCATTTAAACAAGGGAATACATAACAGCAGAGGTTATTAAAATCACACCTTTAGTACTGGTGGATATGTAATGTAGGTCTATATGTTATGTCATGCAGATGCTTTTGTCTACTAGATATGTAAACCCAGATCCAACACACACAAACTTCAGTCCTGATCCTCCACCTCATGTAAACCTCGACTGTCCTTTTTTTTTTCCCATAGAGAAATACTTTGACATGAAGAAGAACCAGTGTAAAGACGCTCTGGACATCTACAAGAAATTTCTTTACAGGATGACAAAGCTGTCGGAGTTCCTCAAAGTGGCAGAGGTACCCAAACACACAGACAAGATACAGACACGAACAAATCAGGACTGTATGTTCAAACGGGTCTCATCTCTGAATATTGGATTTTATTTAGGTTGGCAGCTCCAGTTCTGTCCTCTAACGCTCCCAAACATCCATTAGATGCTTTAAAACCAGATGTTCTCAACCAGGCCTTCTAATGTGGTCATTTTTCACACGCCGGCTGCAGTTTTGCTCACACAGCGTTGCTGAACGAAGCCCCCCCCCACCTTCCATGAAAACGCACTCAAATATATATATATAGGCCAAAAATAACCATAAGATGGAGGACGTGGTTAGGCGCTCTGTTAGCTCCCTCCGCCTAATCCTCTCTTCTGCCTCGCTCTTCTTTCTCCCTTTGACAAAGATGGATACCCGAGTGGCTCTCCTTTCCCCGGTGCCCACAGATCATCCCTCCTTCCCTCCCCTCCGCTGCGCCCCGCTCCATCTCCGGTCTGTCTGTTGTTTCAGCAGACAGTCAGAAAGCAGATGTGTTCTACGGGACACGGAGGGAAATGTTCCCATTTAAATGTCTCCCGTCTTTTTACGATTCTGCTTTAAAGACCTCCCCGCACAGTCTCAGACTAAATGCATGGTTTAAAATGTAGAGAATAGCAGCAGATATTGAGGGGATAAATAATGAGTTCCTCCGTTTTTAGATGAAATGTGTGGAGGCTGTCGGGGAACGTTTTCATAGCCCAATCCTTAAGCTTGAATTTGTTTTTTAATTTTTTTGACCCAAACTTCAATAAATCCCAGCTCGTCTGCTTTGGATCTGATGTGGCGACTTAAAAGATATCAGTCTATAGCATCAGCTGCTGGTTCAGTGGACATATCGTGCAGCTTTAAATGAAAATGTGCCCCAGGATGGCTTTGTAGTTCCACAGCATGAAGGCAAACAGCTTAGCTGCAGATAGATCAGCAGACCTCAGCCTGGAACAGGACTTTTAGTGTTCTCCAAATCTGGATAAATACTGAATAAAGAGACAAAGTTAAATTGAAGGCATTAAGAGATTAAAATTTAAATTTCAAGGGAAGTTTTTTTTCCCCACCCTCAACTAAATTTAAATAATTTGTTCAGTTTATTTTAAGATCAGAAGTAATCCTATCGCTTAAAGCTTTGTTGTCTCTCTTATAATCTAACCTTGATGCCATAGGCTGTAATAACAAAAGCTTTTTTTTTTTAAGGTTAATGTTAATCTAAACTTTATTAGTCTGTGTTCTGAAAACTATCTGACAGTTTAGCGCCTCAGCTGGGTGCGGGGTAGGCGTTACATCGGCGATGTCCGCTGTGGAAACCTCTAAAGTAGATCCCGTAAAGGTTGACTTAAAACCGTTTCGACGCAAAGCTTCATCTCTGCTGTTTGCTTCTTCCTGTTAGGCCGTCACCTTGTTAGCTCACATGTTAAATGGAAACCAGAAAAAAAAAAAACATAAAACTCCATTTCTGTTGTCCTGTCCACTGGGCACGCACAAAGTGCCTTTTCATGTAATCCAATAGTCTGGTGAAAATGCCCTCTCTGAGAGTTCTTCTTTTTCTTTTTTTTCAAACCTCTGGACAGGAAGTGCAAACAAAGCAAAAATGTTGCCAAATATCCATGTTTGCAGTGACTCAAACTGGTTCTTCAACTGGACCCAGTTCAGAAGCCAAACGAAGCTTTTCTTTTTTCCTGTTTCTCAATCTTCTAGGAACAAACGAGTCACGTGTCAGTTTGATTCTAAAGAATCTGTGTTCAGAGAAGGATTGTTCATAATCAGGGTCTATTAAGGTATATTAAGTTATCACACCAGTATATTTATATGAATGCCAACAACAAAAAATATTATAAAAACACTTTATAAACACAAAGCATAATTTCATGTACAGGTTTACTTTTTGTACATAAATCTTGCCCTTCTAAAGCTTTGTGAAGATAAATCTGTGTTTTGCATGGTCCAATATGGTGTCAAAAAACTAAAAACATTACCAGTTTAGTAATGGGCAAGCTATTAGCCAGCTTCAAGTTTTTTATGTATATAAAAACTAATTATTTTCTGAGAATGTGTTTATTTAAGAGAGACTATGCAACTTAACAAACATCTAGAAAAAGTACACAATATTCCAGATTGTTTATTCTCCTTGGCCTTTTCTGAAAAGTGCCTTAAATCA